TTTTTTTTTTTTTTTTTTTTTTAATTTCAACCATTTTTCGATTTATGCGTGTCATCCAGTAGCGATCTGACCCGCGGCGCGCAGCAGATCACATATTTATAACAAAGCGTATTGAACTTTTTCCAGTAGCGATCTGACCCGCGGAAACCGCGGCCCCCACGAGCGGATGGCGCCCCCTACACAGCGCATTGCTGCTAAGCACAGCGGACGGCGCCTCCCCACACAAGACGATTAGCACTTTCCCCCCCACACTAACCAATTAATTAAAAATCAACGATCGCAATTCCCCGCCTTGGACTTGATTAACTACTAAGAATCTTTTCAGATTACACGCGATTGGCGCTTCCCACCCAACACTAACCAATAAAAAATCAACGATCGCAATTCCCCCCCTAAGACTTTGATTAACTACGAAAAAAAAAAAAAAAAAAAAAAAAACTAAGAAATCTTTTTATATTACACGCGACGTGAATGAAATGTTGCTAATACTGTGAAGTGATTAAGGGCTTCGCTCCACTACTCTCGACATGCACAAACGACAAAAATCATGGCGATGTATCTTTCCATGTTCTAGCGGAAGATCACTCTCGTTTTTTGCACATTTCGAGAGTAGTGGAGCGAGTACTCTCGACATGCACAAACGTCAAAAATCATGGCGGTGTATCTTTCCATGTTCTAGACGAAGATTCACTCTCGTTTTTTGGACATTTCGAGAGTAGTGGAGCGAGCCCCTAACTCCGGCTGAAAATCGACGCCGGAGTTAGTTGCCTTCCAATCCAAAGCTCTTACATAGGGCTCCACTACTCTCGACATGCACAAAAGACAAAAACCCTGGCGGTGTATCTTTCCATTATCTAGCGGAAGATTCACTCTCGTTTTGCACATTTCGAGAGTAGTGGAGCGACGCCCATAGGTAGGGCCTCGCTACACGACCAGCCAAATGTGTGAAGAAAGCTTAGTGTATGGGGCTCGCTGCACTACTCTCGACATGCACAAAAGACAAAAATCATGGCCGTGCATCTTTCCATATTCTAGCGGAAGATTCACTCTCGTTTTGCACATTTCGAGAGTAGTGCAGCGAGGCCCTATGTATCTTTCGACTTTCAGTCAATCAATACACTTACTGTAATCGGCATTTTTTTATTTATTTTTTTAAATCGGCATTTTCCAGATCGGGCGAATGCTGCATGGAGCCAGGCCACAGAATCTCCCCCTTTAGGAGCGTACTCACACTGGTACTTTATTAAATGTATCTGACCGCATTTATGCCGTAGTTGTCTGCATCTGGCCACGATTCCGTTCGGGAAAAAAAAAAAAAAAAAAAAAAGTAAAAAAGGTGCTAGTGTGAGTATGCCCTTAGACAGTATAACAACTATCGATAGGAGCTCCCTCTCCGAGTAGTGTATGAAGTGCATGGCATTCTAACCAACCATCTGGGCCTCTTTTTTAGGAAGTGTACTCTCACTGCGCGCCAAGCTTTGCGGAAGCGACAGAGCAGCGTTCTGTTTTCGCTTTGGCTGGCGCCACCGCCCCTTTTGCTCCGATTGCCCCGAGCCTGCGTTTTTCTTATTTATTATTATTATTTTTTTTTTTGAAGGATTTCTCGGCCTTTTGGCTAAGATCAAGTGTAGTATCTGTCTGTCCAGATGCACTCAAAACCTTGACGAATGATAGTAGTGGAACTAGGCCCATACAGTGTTACGATCACCTCATATTGACAAGAAGTCGCGATTCTCAAGCTGTGTACAAACTAATTAACAAACTAATTAACAAACTAATTAACAAACTAATTAACAAACTAATTAACAAACTAATTAACAAACTCATTAAAGCTGTGGCCATGTACTGGTGGATTAACTAACAATTGAGAGGACAAACTACTTAACAAGCTAATCAACAAACTAATTAACAAACTAATCAACAAACTAGTCAACAAACTAATCAACAAACTAATCAACAAACTAATTAACAAACTAACTACCAATCTGAGGAGAAAGAAGGAACGATGTAGCTGAGATCATCGTAACACAACTGCACTAGCAGACTAGATAACAATGATTGCTTCCATACCCAGAGGAAGAGGAGGAGGAAGGGAGAGAGAGAGACAGAGAGCGGGCAGTGAGGAAGTCTCCCCCATCGTGAATGCGCGAATGTATACAAGCTATTTCTCTGGCTTGATGCAGTCATAAAGAGGATGCATTATGTTCGGCGGCAGACCGTGTCGTGATCGATTACCCTTCGCTGTGAACGAAAGCACGATTCGATGCGCGCCCGAGTAAGATGGGGCCTCGCCGCACGCGCGAGGCGCACCACTCACCAGACATGAAAGCGACAACAAAACTATGGCGGGTGCATCATTCCACGTTCTAGGGGAATATACATTCTCCAGTTTACAGATTTGGTGAGCACTGCGGCGAGGAAAAAATGATCGATGACGAATCGAACTGCATTGTTGAAAACAAACGATAGTAATAATAAAAATAAAAAAAAATGAAAAAAAAAAACGGTAGTCTGTATAATAATTATATAATAATCATATCGAAAACAAAAACAGCTTCTTGCCCCCACCTCTCTCCCCCCCCCCCCCCCCCCCCCCCTAAAAAAAAAAAAAAAAAAAAAAAAAAAAAAAAAAAAAAAACAAAAAAAAAAAAAAAAAAAACAGCAAAATCCAAACAGATAGTTGATGACGAATCGAACTGCATTACAACAAACGACAAGTAGATTATAATACGTAATACTTATATAATAATCATGTGAAAAACGAGAACGAAGTGCAATCATATTAATAACAACACCATTATCACAAACAAAGACTATGACTAAAAGCAAAAAAAAAAAAAAAAAAAAAAAAAAAAAAAAAAAAAAAAAACAGCAATCGAACTGCATTGTTGCGGGCCTCATTTTCCTTGGGCCCTATCTTTCCTTTAGTAGTTATTATATTATAAATATATATTATATTATATTATATTATGTTATATTATATTATATTATATTATGTTATATTATATTATATTACATTATATAGTCAAACAGATAGACAAACAGAGTGGGGTAGGGGGAGCGGGGTAGGAGGGTAGAGACTGACAGGCAGACACGAAAGACGAAGGCGCCACGTACCTATAACCACCATAAGATTGACAGCTGGGAATTCGAACACAATAGACGAGCTATGGCGAATAGGTTAAGAAAGCATAACGGAATAGGTAACGGAATAGGTCTTTCAGTATCGGGTCTATAGAAGCGATGGCTCGAGGGTCGGAATGGGGCTCACTTCCAAACAAAAAAAAAAAAACAGAATGGGGCCTCGTCTACAGCAAGAAATGGAAGTCCGTCTGGAAGAAAGCAGGGGTATATAGCACAGCGTAGACGTTATATAGTCGATTGAGTACTATACACAATATAGAGTCCCTGCTCGGGATCTATAGAAGCGATGGTGCGACGATCGGGGGCAATGGCGGGAGGGCGGGAACGGGGAGCTGGTCTACAGCAAGAAATTGAAATTGAATTTGAATTTGAATTCGATTCGCGTCCATCTGGACGAATGCAGGACCGAGCTCCCACTAGCAACGAGGATCGGATTGAATACCTGAATCTGGATGTGTTTTACGCAGAGATGCCGAAAAGCAGTTCAATCTCGATTTCCTGCACCTGTGCAACAAACACGTCCAGATTCAGGCATTCACTCGGATCTTCGTGGCTAATGGGACCACGCTCCACAGGGTATAGAGCAGTGGCTACCGTCTTCCCCCAACATAACGCACCCTGATCATGAATGTATAGAAGCTATCTTTCCGGTCCGGTTCAGGCAAAATGAGGGTGCGTTATGTTCGGGCGAAGACGGTAGGCTATATACTACACTACTATACGCCATATAGACCCCCTGGTCGGGGTCTACCCATAGCTTGGTGGACCGGAGTCGGCCGGTAGAATAGAATAGGGCCTCGCTGTACTATTGTCTACCGGGTGGGCGCGGGGAAAGCAGCCCTAAGGTAGCCAAATCAATGAGACTAAGAGCTGGCACAAGAGAGAGAGAGAGAGAGAGAGAGAGAGAGAGAGAGAGAGAGAGAGTTTTGTTCCATTTATTGTTATGAGTGTGAGAGAGAGACAAAGTGAGAGAGAAAGGAAGAGAAACAGAGAGAGGAGGGGGGGGGCCTACCACACAGAGACAGAGAGAGAGAGAGAGAGAGAGAGAGAGAGAGAGAGAGAGAGAGAGTTTGTTCCATTTGTTCATACGAGTGAGAGAGAGAGAGAGGAAGAAAGAGAGATAGAGAGAGAGGGAGGCGGGGGGCCTACCAGAGAGAGAGAGAGAGAGAGAGAGAGAGGCTGAATGGCAAAATTGAAATATGGGTCAAATTGCGGCCGCGATCTATTTCGCAGTTGGAATGATTTTTTTTAATTTCTTTAGCGTTTTTCCTGGAAAGATCACAACAAAATCTATGAGTACTCCAATTTTCAGGTTTTTTCACGCGTTCTTCTGAGAGTGAAAACTCACTCAATTTGGAGTACTTTTTAAGTTGGCCCACATGTGGCTGAGTGGCAAAAATGGAAAATGTACCCAATCGGCGCGACGATTATTTCTCGGTCTAAATGATTTTTTAAAAATGTTCTAATATTTTTCCTAGAAAGAACACGACCTCATATATGGATTCTCAAAATTTCAGATTTTTTTGCGGGTTCCTCCGAGCACAGAAAATCGCCAAAGGTGCCTCTTGCAAAACGCCTGTTTCGTTGCGCCTGACCTCCCTGTTTTGTTTTGAGAAGACGGGCCTCAACGCCTGGGCCTGAGGGCCCTTACCCCACCCCCACTTCTTTTTGGGGTCCACTTCCACCCGAGGACCGGTCCTTGCTTTTTCCAAAAGTCTCGGTCATTCCAGAGCTGCCTGTAGGTAGTCTCCAATTTTGCCAAGGACCGGTCCCCCCCAAACTTTTGCCCCCTAAAAACCCACTTTGCGTCCTGGTCGCCCGCCGCCGAAAATGCGACACCTTGACGCAGACGCCGAAGCCCACTATACCGCAGCCTTAGGGCTGCGAACTCTCGAAATGTGCAAAACGAGAGTGAATCTTCCGTTAGAATATGGAAAGATGCACGGCCATGATTTTTGTCTTTTGTGCATGTCGAGAGTAGTGCAGCGAGCCCCATAGTCTGGTGTGTCGGACGCTGACGGGTAGGATAGCCTGGTCGGTCGTAGGATAGGGCTTCGCACCATTACTCTCCGCGTGTGCAAAATGATAATGAATCTTATGCTAGAACATGGAAAGATAGAACGCCATATTGTTTGTTTTGTCGTTTATGCATGTGGAGAGCAATGGAGCGAGGCCCTCTAGCATGTGGTAGGCCCTTACCGGGGGCGAGGTCCCACTAGCAAACAGGACAAGATTAAAGTAATGGTCTGAATCTGGACGCTTTTGTGGACAAGTGCAGATCTGAGGATAGATCTGCTGTTCTGAATCTTTTCGAAAACACGTCCAAATTCAGACGGTTAATTTAATCCTCTTTTTTTTTTTTTTTTTTTTTTGTGAATAGTTGCAGATTTAATTATAAAGATTGAAACGGAGCCCGGGAATCCCTCCACATTACAACCCGGAGAATGGAAACTGGGGCCATTGCCCAGTTGGCCAATGTCGGAAACCGGGTCCACCGTCCCACATCTGCAGACTGGTTAACAAAAAGGAGGAAACTGGACAATTAAGTTGACAATAGTAAAAATGGGTGATGAAAAAAGAAAATTGACTAACAGCTGCCTCATTTCTAGTTTCTAGCTAACTGGAAACCGGGTCCAGGGGGGAACCTGTAAACGGTTCCGGTAGCGCTCCGGGTGCGCTAAGTTAGCCCTATTTCGCATGCGTCATAGCGCTGACTTTTCGTGCTGGGGCCGGCCGATGCTTACAGGGAAGGAGTACATTTCATGACCATGGAACGTGTTCGGGTAAGAAACATGTCGCGACTAGTAGCCGACATAGCAGAGCTATGCCGACAGGTGGTTATGCTCAACTATCCCTTGAGTGGGATAGGAACGCCAGAGCGTTCGGAACATGGCCCATAGTCGATCCCCTGTGAAGTTCTAACATACACAGACACTCATCTATCATATTTCAGAACGACGACTTGGAGCATTGACTATGACAACATCTAAATTTCTATCAAGAAGTGGAATTTGCTAATGGCTCGTGCCTGTGGCGGCAGACCCGAGATACGATAAAAGCAATTGTTCTATTGAGGAGGCGGATGGACGTCTATGTTGGGAAAGCATGGAAGGCGGAGCGGCACATCTGGACGCAGTGGGAGAGCGTGCGGTTGCAGTGGCAGCACTTCGGCATGTCCAAGGGCTTCAGTGAGTCTCGTTTGATCAATCTACAACACAAGGCAGTATGAAAGGATGGAATAAAGCGCCTTGCGTCATGGTACTAGCAAGAATGGCGCCATGTTGCACCCAGATATGTGTTTAATTTAAGTAATTTTGTAAGTCTCCTTCGGCATATTTTATTCGCATGTAGGTATAGTTTAGGTTACCTTTGGTACTCCAGCAGGTCATTTGTTCACATATCTAGTCGAAGTGTTTGCCTCAAGATGTTGAGATACTCGAATGAAACCCCTAGTCTGTCTCTTTCACATCCGATGTGCATTTACTTCGTGTTCTCTTCATGACCCCTTCACTTTTCTCATCTAATTTGATTCTTTTGTGGGCTTAATTTCGATCGCAACTCTTTTGTTCGTACTTTAGGGTAGGAATGTTCCCTGGTATGTGTCATAGTTACTCTTCCGTTTTGAACACTAAACCTGGTTGTCTTTGTGGCTATATCCAGTTATAAAGTCTATAACATACTCTCCGTCTTTTAACCATTTTTTAGGTTAGTCATTCGTATTTTAGGGTATTGCATTTCTTTGATCGCTTAGTTTTCTCTTGATTCCCTTGAGAAGTAAAATGTTTACTGTCCCTGTTTTGGCGCGGGGATTGCTCTTAGTGTTTCGTTTTTAGAAACACGTATGTGTGATGCATGGGTGTAAGCCGATGATTTCTTTTCCTTGTCTGTTTTAGGTATTTTTGTCTTTCAGCAAGTTGGTTTTCTTTGTGGTTATTATAAGAGTGGTTAGCACGAAGAAGCAGCGGGATCGCCAATGGTTAGACGAAATGAGAGACCCAGTGAAAAGCAAACTACAGTTGTATCCATTAGGTGCGTGGTGGGAAACCCGTCTAGGCAACAAAGGCTCTTTACAGTGTTATGGACAGTGATGATAAGAGGGTATCCCTACAACTTATTTTTCCATTTCGATTACCGACAGCGGCACTACGGGGGCAGTGTGAGTGTCATCGTCGGTGGTGGGAGCGTTCGTCGATTGTGGTCATTGTAAGAGTAGTTAGCATGAAGGAGTAATGGGAACACCAATGGTCGGACGAAATGAGAAACCCGGTGAAGAACAAACTATAGTTGTATCCATTGGGTGAGTGGTGGGAAACCCGTCTAGGCAACAAAGGTTATTTACAGTGTGATTGGACAGTGATGATGGGGGCGTAACCCTACAACTTATTTTTTCCATTTTGTCAGTGTTGGGAGCATTAGGCGATTGTAGTGATTATAAGAGTAGTTAGCATGAAGGAGCAGTGGGAACACCAATGGTTGGGCGATATCAGAAACCTGGTGAAGAGTAAACTAGAGTTGTATCCATTGGGTGCGTGGTGGGACACCCGTCTAGGTAACAAAGGCTCTTTACAGTGTGTTGGACAGTGATGATAGGGGGGTAACCCTACAGGTTATCCTTCTTGCCTAGCTCCTGGTCTTTGAGCTTATAGGTAGCTTTGATTTTTAACGACTTAGTCGTTTGCTTGAATCCCGGTGGAAAGCAATATTGTCGATCTAGGCAACTGAGCATGATTTGAAAGTAGTTTAATAGCGATGAGCGACACTTTAATGTTCTGCTCGTTGGCACAGACTGAATTTTAACACTAAGTAGGATGGTGCCTTGTTTCTATACGAAATTACTTTGAGCTTCAAGGGATTAATTTTTGGAAGAAGAGGATAGACCAGTGAAAGGAAGGGACGCTGGACCCGTTTTCCAACAACATCCCAATTAGGGTTATTGGTCATATCTTCTGGGTTGTTTGTGAGGAATTCCCGGCCTCCTTTCATTTGTAATAAAAGTTCATGATTCTTTCAAAAAAAAAAAAAAAAAACGGGCCCAACGTCCCATGTTTGTATAAAA